TTTCAACTTTTTCCCCAGCTGAACTCTGTCAGTGCTTAAACCTACCTCCTTTTATTCAGGAATCACCTGATTCTTCTCAGGTGGCACCCAGCCTGTAATCAGGGTTAGCTTTGCCCCAGGCTTTCCAGACCAGTGGTTCTCAACCAGGGGTACACAGAAGTCTTCCTGAGGGTACATCAACTCATATAAATATTTGCCTAGTTTTACAACAGGCTACATAAAATGCACTAGTGAAGTTGGAAAACTTTCATGCAATGACTTGTTTATGCTGCTCTATATACTATACACTGAAATATAAGTACAATATTAATATTCCAATTGATTTATTTTATAATTATATGGTAAAAATGAGAAGCAATTTTTCAGTAATTGTTTACTGTGACACTTTTGTATTTTTATGTCTGATTTTGTAAGCAACTAGTTTTTAAGTGTGATGAAACTTGGGAGTATGCAAGACAAATAAGACTCTTGAAAGGGGTACAGTAGCCTGGAAAGGTTGAGAGCCACTGACCTAAGCCACAGGGCAAGCTACTCTGTTATAATGGTCATAAGCTTCAGCAGCGCTTACACCAATCTGCCCTTTTTGCCTGCCAAAGAAGCCTTTTTCATCTGTGTTCTCCATTATGGGAATTGCTGAAGGTTTAATAATCAACCTCTTCCAGTTGGCACTGGAACAGCCTCTCTGTTATATTATTCAATATGACATTCAGGTGAGGTACCAGAACTCTTCAATTAATTGACTACTCCATAAAGTCAATGGAAAGACTTCACTGGGAACTGTATCGGATCTATAACCTCCAAGCACAATTGCTATTAGTACTTCTGCAGGGATGGATTTAAGCTGCAAAGTTTGGGTCCAGATCTGAACTCTTCCAATGTTTGGAGGTTTGCAGATTGGGGATTTTGATTTGGACTCATCTCTAGTCCAAAGGCTGGACAGATTCAGTGAAACACAATACAACCCCAAATGTCTTCTATGATGTTCAAACCAAGTTTGTAGTGATCTTTTGCCTCAGCTACTCTTGATAAATGGTAAGGCTGACCAAATGTAAAGGAAATGTCAGTTCATGAGGAAAATATGGAGAATATTGCACTTACAGAGTTGTGAATTTGAGGGAAGACATGATTCAGAATAGTCTTAGATCATTATTTTAACTTAAGAGGAAAAATGGTCTCCCATGATGATCCTAATTGGTACAGGAAAAGAGAAAAATAGGAGAAGAAGGAGGGAAGAAGAAGATAATTGAATACAGAGGCTTTCAAATTCTAGGTCATTGGTCGAAATCTAGTTCAGCTGGTAAGTGACTGAAAGTCACTGCCACATGATAACATCTGAAATAAGTTAGCGGATCTTGAATCCAGTTCTTAGGTGTATACATCACATACAGAAACAAAAGCTATCACAACTCGCACTATCATCCCTGCTAGCAAACTCGGGGAAGCTAAAGATTGAATAGGAAAGGAACTGAGCTACTTGCTCGCCCACAAGGGGTGAAATTCTGGCCCCACTGAAGTCAATGGGAGTTTTGCCATTCTCTTTTGTGAGGTCAGAATTTCACCTATGGTCCTTGGAATTTATAGCTGAGGCAGTGTGGGGAAGGGTACATTACTGTAGTGTTCCTGAACTGTGGTAGATAAACAGAGGACTTCAATCTCCAAGGTGCCAATCTGGCACTTTTCGTGTGCACTGGAGTCTTTTTTTGAATAATAAAGAAAGCATATATGCTTTCTTTACGTTCAGGTTTGTGCCAGTATAGAGTATATATGATTCAGATATACTTAACTGTACACACACATGCTTACAATATAATACATACAACGTTACTGACAAAGCTGTATGAAAATTGTGATAGATTCCACAGTAAATGATTTTCTGTACATAATTAACAGAAATGAACCAAAGGCACAAAATATCCATATACTGACAATCTATTCTATCTTTTTTTTAAATAAAGTTATTGCCTTGAGGACCAGGAAATATACACAAATGGCTGAGCTGAACTGTACATGGGGAAAGAGTTTAGTTCACATGAAACCTTGCAATTTGTTCATTCTAAACTTTCAGAAAGTAAACTCCACAGACAACAACCTACAGAGGGATGTTACGTATCCCCTTAGTATCTCAGGGCTTAAAATGGTGCACAATCCCTCTAAGGCCAATTTCAAGATGAAAAGGTTTCTTTCAACTATCAAAGGTGATGTCCCCTAGAGAGTCATGCTGTGCTTCTCTTGCCCACTCCTTTGAGAAGCTATATCAGGAAACCTCCTGTTATCAGTCACATGAAAAATAACAAATACTCCCCAAAGCTGTATTGATGTCAAAGAGCAAATTTTAAAGGGTCTGTCTAGCATAGCTGAAAGGCTTGCTACAAGCCCCGATGTGTGAGCACCCACATCAGACAAGTACAGAGGAATAGCTGGCACCAAAAATAAAGGGAAGAACACAGTAGTAGGCCTAGGGGTGTGGAATCATGCTGCTTACCAAGGCTTCTGCTTAGGGAACGTGTTTGGAATTATTATAGTTATGCTTTCTTCACAGTCAACAAGGGCATCAAAACAGAGCTGAAAGGGAATGAAAGTACAAATTAAATGCTCAACAATGGAGAATTTATTAGAATTTGTATTAATTTTTGGCATAAAAGGAGAATTTAGCTGTTTTAAAGAATATAGATTTTTTTTAAGAGGATTAATCCAGTGTTCAAGGAAGACTGAAGTCCTTGATCCACAGAACAGGCACATGTGGGCCAGCTCAGGCCATCCATCCTTCCTTCAACTGACCTGCCAGTGTGCCTCAAGAGTACAGCTGAGTGCGCAGCATGTATATTTATGGGGAAATTTGCGAATATTTATCTAAATTTAAAAATGCATTTTAATTCATCTACCATTTCATGATCACTCTCTGCAAATGTTTGAGTGGTCCAGTGGATCCAATAATTCCTTTCTTTATGTATTTAAAGACTTTTTTGTTATTTGCTTCTATCTCCTTAGAGAATTGCTCTTCAAATTCTATCTTAGCCCTCCTGATTCTCATAATATATTTTTCCTGTTTAATATCATTTCAGTTCCTTTCTTTTGGCTTCACTAGGATTGAATTTCATCCTGAAAGGATGCCCATTTAGCTTGAATGACCTCTTGAGTCTTTCTATTTAACCAGACTGATTTTTGTCTTGCCTTCCTGCTTCTTCTCCTGTTCAAGGGAATACATACATAACATGATTCAGTTATGCCATCCTTAAGGATTTTAAATTCCTCATTTTTTATTTTAGGGTCGTTTTTTAGTAGCTCCTTCATTTAAAAAAATAATTTGAAATTATTTGCTCTGCTCTATTCAACACATGGGAGTGAGAAGATAGTCCTGCTTACAAGCCCATATACTTCTTGGTCTACTGTACCCCTTTCAAGAGTCTTATTTGTCTTGCATACTCCCAAATTTCATCTCACTTAAAAACTAGTTGCTTACAAAATCAGACATAAAAATACAAAAGTGTCACAGCAAACTATTACTGAAAAATTGCTTCTCATTTTTACCATATTATAAAATAAATCAATTGGGATATAAATATTGTACTTATATTTCAGTGTACAGTATATAGAGATTACCTTCAAATTTTCCACAGCAACAAAATCTCATCTGGAAGGATACCTGAGACAGATCAACATTAATTTGTCAATAATTCATATTTGCCAGAGGCGAGAATTAATATTGAGAGAAATATAAGAATATATAAACCACTCTTTAAGCTCAGAAGCAAGGCACACAAGGAGCTTGGTTCAGGTTGACACTTCCCTCCAGAACAATTACCATGCAAAAGCATAGCACTGTCTGGAAAGAGAGCAGCTAGCCCTGAGTAAGTGGTAGGGAGATACTCATTTGGACATAAGATATAAAAGGGGTAAAGACAAAACAAGAATGTATTTTTTTATCCAAAGCCCCAGTTGGAACAGTGAATGACTTTGGAAAACATACCATGGATATGAGAGTCAAACTAACATGTCTCTCTCTTCAGAGATACTGGGGTGTGCTCTATGTTGGGTGAGGGTGCAGTGCCTGGTTCCAGCAGCTCCCATTGGCCTGGAGCAGCGAACCGCAGTCACTGGGAGCCGCGATCGGCCGAACCTGCAGACATGGCAGGTAAACAAACCGGCGCAGCCCGCCTGGGGCTTTCCCTGCACAAGCGGCAGAACAAGTTTGGGAACCACTGCTCTAGAGGATAGATCTTCACTTGAGGCAGGAATTGCTGATGGAATTCTCTAGTAATGATGGTGACCTGAGATCCACTGTCCAGCAGAGCCCTACAAGGAATCCCTTCTACCATCACATTAACTACCGCTGCTGGGCCTATCAATCCCTCTGGGAATGGGCTCCAGGAAGGCTGTTCATAACACAACTTAGTGGAGCTCTGATTGTAATGGCTCCCAGTATGCTCCATTACTGGGATCCTTCGAAGTTTCCCTGTAGCTCCCTTTTTCATTGTGCTACCTTCTCTTTGTTCCTCGGGTTGTCACACTGGGTGGAAATGTGCCCATCCTCACCACATCAGTAGCAGAATCTCCTGTTCTTTGGGACGGTCGCCAAGGTTTTCTTTACAGGGTCTCTGTTGGGGTCCTCTCTCCCTGGGTGAAAAGGAGGGTACTTCCTTTCTGTCAAAGTTGGTGGAAGAATTTCACTAGGTGACCCCTGAGACATCTTACTCGTCATAAATTCAATGAGCTGTGCTGTCACGGTTTTAAGCTGTTGATGGAGGTCCTCAGTGGTGGACAGACAAGGGTCATCCTTCAGTTTGTTAGGAGCAACAGTCCTGCTTACTGAGATCTTATTCCTCTCTCTAACAGTTCTCTTTTCCTCCTCCTTCCAGACTTCTCGCAGCAATTGATGGAATTCTGGAGGACTGTCCAATCAGTCTACAAGTTTCAATTTCATAATTAGAAAGTCGTCATAAATGGCACCTTGTATGACCTGTTCTAGTCGTACTCAGTGTTCCTTGCTCCTCTCAGTGCCTTTACGGTGGATGCACAGTTGAAGGGATGGTTCCAATTTGGGAAGATAGTTTTTCACCTGGCTGTTGGTAACAGGACCAAAATTGAAAGCAGAGGTCTTCCCTTGTCTCTAGGCTCCCAAAGACATCCTCCATCGCCGAGAGAGAGTCATCAACAGTGGCAACACGCTTGCTGGCTTTTAATGCACACATTACATTCCCTGCAGGTCCTCGCACGCTTTCTGCCACCTGTTTCCTCTTTTCAGCCTCACTACATTGCCATTCCTGCATCATCTGATTTAGTTGATGCCTCCAAGTGTCATAGTCATCTTCCCCTACAGGCACTGGTTTAATGCCTGAAAAGAACTTCAGCTTTCTGTAAGGGCCTGATTCATAAGCTGTCTTTATGGACACCCCTATTACTTGTCCCATAGCAAAAATTATTTGGTCCATAGAACTGGGAGGAGGCACAGGACTACTTCCCAAAAGGGTCCTTAATTCAGTCATGGTCTTCCCTTCGTGCCTAAGGAAGTCCCACAATTTGGACTGAAAATTGATAGTTTCAGATGGTGGGGCAGGTGGGGAGGGAAAACGTGATTGTGCTTGTATGGTCACCTTCCATCCTTCCTTCTCTCCATCTGGCAGAATTACATGGGAAGTCACTACAGTAGACCGTATAATCTTTCTCTCTACAAGAAGGGATAAAGTAGCTTTCTCTTTTGCTTGCATCTGACTCCGAACCACACAGGTTCTAACATTGGCAATCTCATCTTCAATTTGTCTAACTTCCCATTCAGTGGATACATTAGTGAGCAGGAAGTGGCGTTCAGAGTCAGCTTCCTCCAGCTCACACCAAGTTATAAGCCTCTTCTGGTAATCCATACTGGGAATTTACTTAATTTCCCAGGAAGACAGCAGGGGTGTATATAAGATCTGAGTTTAAAAGATGGGATCCCAGTGATGCCTCCAATGTAGCACCCCCTCTCCACCCGGTTACCTTCTTTAATGCCAATCTGCTAACAGGTTTTGATAGACAGGTCTGGGTTCTTCTGAATCCCGCCACCCACTCAGCAGGGTGTATCTTCTTTATTTTTTCCTATGAATTTATTTGGCAGTGCCTCCACCCCCCTCGCTCCTTCCTGGCAGGGTCACTAGGGCAGCTTGGGAGGAAAACTCTAACCACAGGGTAATCCCCACTTACCTGTCAGATAGTTGGAGACTTCCAAGAAATAACACAAACACATACAATATATTCAACACAGTAAGTATATTAAACAGGAGACAAATATACATAACAGGGTAAAACACTATTTTTAGGGTCACCGGTGCCCATGCTGATAATACCTGTGACTTTCCCCAGTCACGGGACCTGATGTAGCAAATGTAAGATTAGTGTCCCATTGGGTACTTTGCGTACTTTGTTGGGGCCCTTGATGACCTATGCCCACAAAATTCTTCTCTGCAGTGGTTTAGCAGTGTGGCTGACTGGGTTCAGTACAGCCCAAAGGACTCACAAGTGGGAGAAGGTGGTAAATCCCTCCACAGGTTTAATATGCAGCAGGTTATAAGATCCCCAAACCCTTACTCCCTGACTGGATGACACAGTTCAGGAATAGGGGATCCCCAAAACAAATTCTCTGACTAACTAAAAGACGGTGCACTCACAAACTCCATGAATGATCCTCAGGTTCAGAGATGACTCTGGACTCCTCAGTCACTGCAGAGGAGCGGATCTCTGCTGGCAGGGATCCTCTTCAAGCAGGAATCAGGCTGCTTCGGTCCCAGGATTTCCCCTCACCACAAAGGGGTGCAGGGCTCAAGGTGCAGGTTACACAACTGTACTAAAATGTGTAACCTGCACCAAACTGTAGTCTCCTAGCCCAGCATCCAGACACACAGACACAGCAGGCAGCAGCCCTGAACTAGCAGACGGAGCAGAGCTGACCATGTGGTGACTGGTCTCACCTAGGTAGCTGGAGGGCGAACTCAGCCTGGCTGGGGAAGTTTCCCAGCAAAACTCTACAAACTCGGAGTCATCAGTGGAGAAGGAAAAGCCCAGCTGAGGGATCTTGCTTTCAGGTCCCTAGAGGCCAGTTTTCAGGGGGAACCCTGCATGCAGTCCTGGGACTCACCAGCTCCCCACACAGCCAGGCTCCAGACTGACTCAAAAATGGCTTCTCCCCTTTCCTGAACTCCCTGGGAGGGGCATCTCACTCTGGTTGCCAGGCAGACTCTGAATTTGCCTTGGCTCCCCCTCCCTGAGCAGCCAGCAGACAGAGCCCCAGGAATCTAGGTAATCTCCTTGGGCGTTACATTTACTAAAAATGTTTGTTTTTGTTGAAAAAAACAAAATTTCATCCATTTTGATGAAAGGCCATTTTTTCATTGAAATTGCTTTTCAACTAGAACATCTGACAAGCTTTCACAGATACATGCACATATTATTTCTTTCTATTTTGACCTCTTCTGATTTCTTAATACATTTTGTTGAACTACAACAAAGGTGATTTTATACTGTTGTCTGGGTTTCTCATACAGACCAATCCAAAACAGAGAAATAACCTTCCAGCTCTAAGAAGAGGTAATAAAGGACGAGATTCTGGAACCTATGCCACTTGGGATAGTTTGTCACAAATACAAGGTGTGTTGCAGTCAGAGAGCTTCCTAACATACAGAAGTCCACTGTGTGGACTTCCTAACACATAGAAAATGCCTAATCCCTATGGGAAAGAAATAAACTGAAGGGACATAAAATGGCCAAAACATATGGGAAATTTGAGGAAGAATGAATATCCTTTAGGAATCATGGGGTAGGAGGAGAGAGCTGTTTCAAAATTAGGCTTATAACACTAATCATAAAGTTGCCTTTTCAGTGACATGGCATGTATATACCGTATATGCAATGACTCTTCCCTTGTGTTTCTGCACCCTATTACTATGGTTTACCACAGTTTTGCTTAAGCCAGAAATATCACACTTTTATCACCACACATTCTACACATTGCTTCCCTCTCTCTCCTTTTTCCCTCTCAAGGTGTTTTATTTTGTTTTTCTGTGGTTTTTCTTTCTTTTCAAACAGTATCTCAGTCTGTTTAGTGTTTCATCCCTTCCACAGAATAAGTTATCTCAAATTCCACAGCTCTTTTAGCACTTCATCTGTGAAGGCCCCATCTGAACCTAAAGTTTTCCAAGTGCCTCTAGCACTTCCACAGATGAAAGCCTACTGGTAAGAATGATGCAAAGATTAGAGAGGAAAATGAGAGGATAAGGGGCTGGTAGATGTTATATATCCATTCCTATTGCAATAGTTGATACCCATAGAACCATTAACTCGGGGTGGCCAACCTGAGCCTGAGAAGGAGCCAGAATTCATCAATGTACATTGCCAAAGAGCCACAGTAATACGTTAGCAGCCCCCCATCCGCTCCCCAGTGCCTCCTGCCTGCCGGCAGCCCCCACCAATCAGTGCCTACTCCCCTCTTCCCCCACCCACCACAATCAGCTGTTTCAGGTGCACAGGAGGCTATAGGTGGGAGGGAGCGGGGAGGAGCCAGAGCATGGCAGGCTCAGGGGAAGAGGCAGGGGCCTTGGGGAAGGGGGTGAAGTGGGGGCAGGGCTTGGGGCAGAGCAGAGGGTTGAGCAGTGAGCACCCCCCGCACATTGGAAAGTTAGCATCTATAGCTCCAGCCCCGGAATCAGTGCCTAGGTAAGGAGCCGCATATTAACCGCTGTAGAGCCGCATGTGGCTCAGGGCCACAGGTTGGCCACCCCTGCATTAACTGAAGACAGTAGTAGACTCAAATGTCCTATGTTGTTCAACCACTACAGGGGAACACAGAACCACACTGTGTTAATAGGGATACATGAACTTGAGGCAGCAGCATGTCTCAGTGCATAGGACCCAGGACTATTTGGGGACTTTCATCAACTCACTGCATGACCTTGAGCATGTCAATGAACCTACCTGTACCCCAATTTCTCCATCTGTAATTTGGGAATAAAGATTCCTACGCACTTTTGTAAAATGCTTGAAGTCTGTGGGTGAAAATCCCTAAATAAATGTTGAGTATTATTCCTTTGTTATTCGTCACAGCCACAATACAGATATTAGTCCCCCATACACAAACTATCTATCAGTTCAATCCCCTCCTGCAATTTGTTGCTCTTTGTTAAATGTGTCTTCCAAAGTTTGAACATATTCATATCATATTTCTAAGAACAATCTGCCTGCCGTCATTGAGAGTCCTCCTCCCACTCCTCGATGGGGAAGGGATTGATGGAGTTCCCTTTCTGAGATACAGGTTCTGAAATAACACCTAGAAATCTTTCTAAAAAGGATTTTGAATAGGAATTCTTTTAAAGGATTTTCAGATTTATCTGTTGTGCACCCTGAAGGAAATACAGGCTTGATCATCTTGAAACCTTTACACACAAAAATGGTGCTAAAATGGTGCATGTGGAAGGCTGAGTGCACCATGTATGTGAACCCTCCCCTCTTGAAATGGTAACACTGGCGAGGGGCACAGGCAGCAGAGGGTGGAGGTGAGAAGAGAGCACCATGGGTATAATGTCCCCCGTTTGGAATCAGACAAACGCACACAACCCAGGAGGTCCCAACAAATAGACCTTTACTGCAGTTTACTCAGAGATCACACTGGATGAACCTTCTCCAAATCACCCTGAACTTCCTAGTGTGGACTGCTACCAAGTCTCTTAAAGTCACAGTCCACTACAATAACCATATATGGGTAGAAAAAAGGGAGAGAGAGGTCACAAGAGTGACCCTATACATGACAGCTGGTAGCAACCCAGTGGGGAAAAGACACAAACACTGGGTAACCAGGCTTCCACCGCTATGGAGCAGATGGCGGTATCTGACAGGGAGGTCAAAAAGATGCAAACAGCTGTAGAAACAATTCCCAGCTCCACAGCAGACAGCCTACAGAGGAGAGACAGGGAGTCTACCAAGCTGAGCATATACAAATGTATCAGCCTGAAGACACAAACATCTAAGGCAAAAATACACAGGACAGGTCACCCACAACATCCAACATAGTAGATACACACATATTCAGACATAACCAAACCCCAGGCCCATTCAAGGCAGGAAGAGGAGTAGAGAAGTCTTGTGTGTCCAAAACAGGTCCTGACTGGCTACTCTTGAAATCCCTGGAATATCTATCTATCTATCCATCTTCTTATTTAGGCATTATACCATGCTTATCAATGTGGTACCTGAGCGCCTACTCTGATTACTCATGCTTCTGGGACAAGTATTCTGTGTGGGTGGCTGTGCAGGGGTTTTGCAGAAATCCTCAGACAGAATAAGGACAGATTAACACTGTGAAGCGGTGAAATGAGACAGATTTGGGCCCAATGTGTTTTTTAAAATGTCTTCATTTGTATTACAAACAGCACTATGTGAGCCAAAACCAGAAATTCAAATCTATATCACTTTTGAATTTTAGGGAGATTTGGTTTCAATTCCCCAGACTAAACTCACCCTTATAGTTCTGGTTCTAGATTGGATCCAAAACCAGAAGGAGCCTATTATTGAGTTCAGGTTCAGACTTGGTTGTAATCCCAACCTTATGGGAAGAGTCTGGCCTCAAATGGCAAAAGAATAATTCAAAATATTTTGGTGCTGTTGCATCAGAACCTTTGCCCTAGTTCAACCTCAAACCTAAATCTCAAAGTCTAGCCTTAACTTAATCTCTATCTGAATGTCACCATCACCTCCTCACCCTCTTTCTGTTATTAAGACTGAAATAAAGTTCCAAATGGATCAATTACCATTTTAAACTGAAAAGCTCTACAGTTATTCAGCCAATTGTTTCAAATATCTCCTGTGTTTCTCTAAGAACAGAAATGTCGTCGTCAAT